TCCAATTGTACTGTAACGTTCGCTCTTCGCCGGTTTTCAGCTTCATGGTGATGCTCGCAACAGACTTGATTCTCCATGCTGGAACGGGGCAGCTTTGGGGAATAAAATAGTTGTTTCTCAGAACAACATGTTCCCTAGACAGCGTGAGTGACTTCTCATCAAGACGCCATGTGTCTGCATGCCTACCATCCGGCTCACCCTTTCGGGCGGCTAAGGCGTACACGCAGCAGGCAGCTGCTTTAGCTTCTGTCCTCTTCTTCCGGCTCGGCCTTCGCTTAGCCGGGGAGGGTGCACGTGCCTTAGCCTTGGCCGGGACAGAGGGCGATGCGGACTTGTCCTTGTGCAAGAACTTGCATTTGTCCCCATTCCTGCAAGTACCCTTGGCATAAAATACGCATGGGATGTTGGAGGTATCTTTGCTGTTACTCTTCTCTCTCTCGCGAGAACCTGACTTAGGCCGGTTGGGAGATCTCTCCCTTGAGGATGCTTTGGGGTCTTTCGTGTGTTCATACTTGCAACGCTCCCCAAACTTACACTTACCCTTTTGAAACAACATGCAAACCTGCCTACCCTGACGTCCTCTGGATGGCTGTCGTCGCTCCGAAGGAGCGGGCGCCGACGGCTTCGCAGGGGTAGGAGGGGCAGGAGCACCATACTTCGCGCCATGGGCCTTAGCAATCTTGTCCCTGTTCTTCCTAATTCGTTCTCGTGTGAGGAGATTCTTGATGCTTTCCATGAGGAACTTGTAGGTGTGCTCGGGGGTCCCCTCACGAGCCCGATCGTAAATGTCGAGATCATACTTCAAACGATGGGACTTGCGAAGCTCACGGAGGAATATGTCTCGCAGAGTGGTTTCGTCTGGAGGATGCGATAGTCCAGCAATCACTGAATCCCAGTTATGCACGAAGGTAGCGAGGTCATCGTTGATCAGTGCCACTTTCAAGAGGTCTTCGACCGAGTAGAGGGAGCCAACTTCTTCGTTGGTTTTAAAGTAGGCTTCAAACATTAACAGCACCTGCCTACCTCTCACTGCTCTACCACAGGTGGCCTCCGTCTCCTTGTAGTTGAGTATTTGTCTCGCAAGCTCGCCCTTCGCCACCCTAGACAATGCTGCAAGGATTTTGGTGTCTAGCGTGAGGAATTTCCCTACATCGTTGAGGCTATCTAGTGACGCACCCTTTGCGTACACCTGCTGAATCCACGCAAATGCTTCATCAGGGTGATCAGATGCTGCTCGAACAGCCTCACGCACTGCCGTCTTCCACGATCTGTACGTCTCCGCTGAGGGAAAATCCGGAAGTTTCACTGTCTCCGCTTCCTTAGTCTTAGGTTTCGTCTCATCCTTGGTAGCAAAGTCCTTGAGCGCTTTTGCAATCGCTTCATGCACTTCATTAGGGGCTTGCGAAACAGGAGTGGATGCTCCCAGATTAAACCTCTGGGGCCGTCTCTCAAAGAGACCCTTCATGCTCTCTGGAATCTGCAACGGATTTGGCAAATCAGCATGCGTGACATGTGCATTACCGCATGCGGCACCCCCTTGCGGGGGGCTTGCTTCGGCAGTGTTCAAACCCGGTGGAGGTGCTGAGGCCATGGGAACAGCCTGCTGGTGCTCGGCACCACCTTTCGGCAGGCTAGATGACGCTGTAGCGGTCGCCTTAGCCTCATCAAGTTCAACCATCAAACGCTGGTTCGACTCAGCCAACTCCTGAATCAAGACATCGCATGCACTTTCTTCTTCATGCATGGCATATGTGAACATGTTCTCTTCATACTGCATTTGCTCTCTAAATTCGTTGCCTAAGAATTCCAGCTGGGTTTCCCTGTTTTGATCGTACACAACCCTGAGGTTAGCAAGGGAAAATTCACTCTGTTCGAGATGGGTCCTGAGGCGAGTTTCCGACTCGAGAACCATGTTACCTCGTGCCTCAAGCTCGAGATTGTGCATCCTGAGTGTGTGTGCGTCCTGTGCGGCTTGGTCAAGCTCCGCCGTTCGACCTCTTAGTGCTGCCTTGGTCTCCAGTAGTTGTTGTTGTAGCTCACGAACCACAAAGTCCATGCGGTCACTGATGACTTCAATCCGTGCACGATGTTGGGCATCAGCGTGTTGCTCGAGTTCTCCCATTTCTGCACGGGCCTGTCTTGTAGCCATGTCCAGGATTTCCGCATGTCTGCGTTCGGCTTCGATACGAACTCGCTCTGCATCCTCGTTTTGTTGCACGATGATCAGCTGCTGCTGTACCCGGTACTGGTTGAACTGTTGGTAGTTGGTTGTTGCAGTCTGATCATGTTGCGCATTGGGATCAATGGTCCCATCTTGCAGCTGCAGAGCCATCGTGTGAGACTCTACGGCTGATAACCTGAAGTTTTCAGGTCAGCACATGAGGGAACATATAAACCGTTAAGTACGCCTCTTTTTATCGGCAACTTGAGCCACAGTCGAGGGTAAAGCGATGGTATGCACAGCTCGCAAAAGGAGTGTAATTCCTCCATGAAAAACTACAAACATCCCGCAATCACATCCTATCTAACCCTCTGAACCCCGAACGCGCACCTCCAGGAAGCGCCCCTCCTTTGCGGCCCGCAGCGGGTTCAGCGTCCCGTGCCCCGTCACCGTCACACTTCGTTCCTGCGGCGAGGATGCCGTACGGGGTGACCGTGTGTTACAATGCTGCTTTTGACACGTTACGAAGGGGAACCCCCTAATTACTACCTGCTAAGACCTACTACCTACTCCAACCATCCTCAAACCACATCTCAACCCACATCTCAACCCACATCTCAACCCACATCTCAACCCACTAGCCCTGTACGCCCCTCGTCGCAGCTCCCTCAAAAAGAAAAGCCCGCTCCGGGTCGGCGCCGTGCTCCAGGAGCAGCCGGACGATGCTCGTGTGGCCCTTGGAGGCAGCTCCGCAGAGCGGGCTCCAGCCAGTGGAGTCCGTGGCCTGCACCGGCTCAACTCTCTAAGCTCTTTTTGAGAGCCGGGAGGGCATTGCCAGGAGTGTCGGCTCCTTCCAGTGTACTCTTTTGAATTCACCGCTTACGAGATCTGCTTGGCGGTTCGTCGGCAAGCGGGAGGCATTCGTGGTGATGCTCGAGATGATATCGATGATTGCATGAGCCTTTGCGTGCGTATTACTGTCACATGATTTTCGGCGGTTGCGACCTTGACCTTGCTCATGGGTGGAACAGCCCGGGGCATGCTTTCTCAGCCGTTGTTCTGCTTTGCCATCTACGCAATAATAGGGTGCAATGGCATTGTGACTCACAGAATCGCAACAGCGCGCCGTGCAAGCAGAGTCGTGATTCATGTTCAACCATAATGGCCGCTTTGGCTTTGAACGTTGAACTGAGCATGCAAAATTTGTCACTGCACGGATTCTAGGCTTGACAGTGGAACTCCTCTGCGAGGGGGGGGGTGGGGCACTTATCAGATTCGTGATGGCGCTGACCCAGATGTTCGTCTCCGGAGGGAAGTTCAGCTTGATTTCTGCACAGGTGATGCCTTTGAATGCTCTGTTATTACAAGTTCTGTATGGGAGGCTTTTCTTGGCTTAGCTTCAGCTACCACGTTCGGGGTGCACATAGCACGGCATGTCGTCTCGAGTGCGCAGCCTCCACATCTGCAGAGAACTCCAACAGGTGGCTGGTGACGGCCTCTGAGGTGCGAGCATTGTTCCGGAAAGTCTTAGAGCAGGTGCGTAGGTGGAGACCATCTAGATCCACCGCTTATCAGCCACACTCAAAATCTCGGACAAGCTTTGGGAGCTTTGATGAGCCATGTACTCCTTTGGTACCGCTGCATCCCTCAAGGGCCAGGATAGCCCAATACCTCTTTCGACTTTGGTGGAGGATGCTTTGCTACTGTGATGCTTGCTGAAACCCACAGGCGGAGGAACCCACCTGGTACCCCTGCCAAGCGGAGACGTGGAGTGCCCTATCGCCTTCTCCTTGGATGTCACGGCAAAAGACGTGAAGAACAACGGGAGGGAAAACACAGCTTGAAGCCTGCATGTTTGTTTCAATTTAGTCAGGTACAGATCAAGCCAACCTTTATTCAGAACCCACCGCCAAAAAAAACAAAAAGCTGTCAAACGTGCCTCTCCAATTTCGCTGCGTCAAGTCTCCTGGTAGGTTGGGGTCTGCTCGGGCTTTCAAAAGCACCTCGAGCACGTCCGCTTGGCCACCAAAGGCCGCCTCCTTCAGAGGCCACCGATCCTCGCTGCGCGTCCCGAGGCCAACATATGATGACCCCACCGGGAAGACATTACCGCATACTGCTCTGACTGCTCTTGATTACATATGAATATCATCACACAAGACTGTCATAACATGTCTACGAACTGCCACCTTCTACGAGATTCTAGCTCTATAACACAGGCTTCGAGGTTCAGCGCGCACGAATTCCGGCAAAGACCGACCGAAGTGCCCTTTGACACACTTTGACATCCTCCTATTCCCGTCCTGCTCGTCTGCCGTGTTGGGGTCGGCCCGCTCGGACAGCAGCTCGCGCACGCGGCTGGCGTCCTTACCTTGAGCCGCCTCCGCCAGCAGCGCTGCCTTGTGGCGCTTCAGCCGCTCCTCGATGTCGTTCCGCTCCTTCTGGGGATTTCCGGAATTCCCGAGCCAGGCGCCACCCGTCATGGCTCCGCTTCTCATCGGTACTAGTCTGATGCCTGTGAGCTTCATCTAGCGGCTATGGCTTGGTGCAGAAGGCTGACGGAAACTGGTGTGGAGACATCTGGTGACTTTAGAATTTCTCAGTCCAAACTCTGAGCTGACACAATTCCAAGCTGAGCCGAGGCAAGTTTTGCGGGCAGCATGGAAACGACGTAACCTGTGCAGCCTGTGTCAACCTGTTCACTGTTTTCTGTGGCACACTGACTGTGGCACACTGTGGCACACTGTGGCACACTGTGGCACACTGTGGCACACTGTGGCACACTGTGGCACACTGTGGCACACTGTGGCATACTGTGGCATACTGTGGGCCCAAGGTCCGGGAAGTTGGCGACAGGGGCCGCAGGTGCTCCACCTCCTCCTCGGCAGAAGTCACGTCAAAGGGCACATCGTGGAGCTCTCTCTGTGGAGCGCGGAGCTCTCTCTGAGGCCAGGACGGTGTACTGCACTTCCGCATACTTTTCCAGACATTGCTTGCGAATTTTGGATAGGAGGTAGGCCTCATGCTTCTTCTTGTCCTTCTGCCACTTGTCCCACCTTGAGATGGAAGTTGAAAAGGCTTGGGGGTATCTTGAGGTTTCAACAAACTCCTGGGTTCGGGGGCGGTTTCTGGAGCAAAGCGAGGTCCTCCGCACAGGGACGATACCATGAGCGTGAACCGTGAGGCCACCCTGCCGTTGCTCTGCGTGCTGCGCACCGCTGCGCGCCGCTGCGCACTGCGTCCTTCTTCAGCGCTGCCAGCGCCTTCTTGCTGAGCGGCTTGCCTTCCGAGTCTGCTGTCGGGACCTCAATATCCGATTGGCCGCCCAATTGTCTCGTCGCTGGGTTCGTCTTACAGTCTACCGTCAAATCACGGACATCTCCCAACTTGTACCCAAAATATCACTGGAAACCCTTAAGCCAGAGTTTGGGAGATGACGTGCCCTCGCGGCATGAGGCCGTGGCGCCGTCTGGGCCTGGCTCCCGGTACTCCTCGGAACACGACACATCGCTTAGGCGGTTTGGGCTTTTAACAGGAATCCAAGGCCCAGGGGCAAGGCTCCAGGGCCTTATTGGGGGCCTCCCTGGGATTTCTTAGGGCATGGAAGCCCCGAGGCCCGAGGCTCCGAGGCTGCTGCGCTCAGGAGCGTGGCCGGATCAGTGGGCTGATCTCCCGGTGGTGGAACCTCTGCATCACCTGACGGCTGAAGCCACACAGCATCACACAGCCGTCGTCAGGCAGAGGTCGTAGGTGTCACTTGTAAATCTTAGGGGGCGCTGTAACAAGAAACGTCGAGAAGCCGTGATAGCTTTTGGTAGGGAAACTGCAGCCATACAGTACAGTTAGAGGATTCCGGCTGTTGCGATCATGCTCCTTAAAAATCGCGCCGGCGTTCACGGCGCGACCGGCATCTCTGCAGCAACACGGATGGTTGCTCGTATCTTCGCTGAAGGTACATGCTGACTTCTGACACATAGCGGTGTTACAACACTTGCTGCCGTCACGTTTACAGAACCATAGCAAATATAGTGCAGCAGCTTGCTAGCAAAGATGAAAACATGCCTGCTCATGTGTCTAACAATGCAACATGATGAAACGGCAAGATGTACTGTGAACTCATGTGAACTGACGTTTGGCAGCTCCAATCACAATTCCTGCAAGCCTCAAACCCCAAACCCCTGACCCTGAGCCAATTGTAGCTGTTGCTGCCTCGGCTCTGCTTCTCTTTCTCAAGCCTTAGGGCCGTCGCAGTCTGTCGAAGTACAACTGAATGTTGGACGACCATTTCTATTTTGGTCATTTGCTCAGGCTCCAGCGTCTTCCACGATGCCACACGATCAGCAACCTCAGGCTGCATTGGATTACGACCTATCGCATCCTACAGCTGTAGACGAAGCAACCGGTGGAGCGCAAGCGAAATTAGCGCATGAAGGCCGCATAACGCCGTTGCGCTGATACGGCTGCTACGCCGCTGCGCTGTTGTGCCGAGCCCCGAAACCCCAAACACCAAGCCCTAAACCCTTTACAGCCCGAAGAGAGGAGCGGAATGAGCGGAGTGCACCAAGTTCAACTTCGACAGGCGTGTTAACCAAAAGGGTTCGGGTTAGCGGCGGCGTCTTTCGTTCATGCTCCTCTGTGTGTCATGCGTGTGCCACATTGGACGCGTTGCACAAAATCATTTGGCTGAACGGAACACGCAGGGTGGACTCTTGCCGCGGCGTTTCGCATGTGCTGTGCCAAGTCGGTGACGGCTGTCTGGGCGGCAATGGCAGCATCAAACTTGCGGAACAAGTTGTAACCAAGAACCCTCTCATGTTCGAGTTAGCTTCAGAATGCAGCGCGTGCCGGGTGATGCCGGCATCACACTGCAACAAAAACCACAGGAGAACTGCTGCAACGCTGCAGCCGTTGGACATCTCTTTTTTTTTAACGAGAAGCTGATGCTGTCCGGCTTCGGCCTTGTTTCGTGCGCGATGTGGTGGCCTTCTGGGATGGGTCTTGGCATGCTGTGGCTGCTTTGTGGCTCGCGGCGTTTCCCTTGGCTTGAAAGCTGCGCGGGCCAGCAATTTGGTGCTGAAAAGCGGCGCGGGCCAGCAGCCCGCACGATTTTTTAAAGCAGGCTTGGGCTTGAAAGCTGCGCGGGCCAGCAGCCCGCACCGAAATTGAGGTTGGCTTGGTGCCGAAAAGCGGCGCGGGCCAGCAGCCCGCACGATTTTTGAAACAGGCTTGGGCTTGAAAGCTGCGCAGGCCAGCAGCCCGCACCAAATCTGAAGTTGGCTTGGTGCTGACAAGCGGCGCGGGCCAGCAGCCCGCACACGCACGATTTTTTTAGCAGGCTTGGGCTTGAAAGCTGCGCCGCGCGATTTTTCAAAGCAGGCTTGGGCTTGAAAGCTGCGTGGGCCAGCAGCCGGCACCGAATTTGAGGTTGGGTTGGTGCTGAAAAGCGGCACGCGCACGATTTGTTTAAGCAGGCTTGGGCTTGAAAGCTGCGCAGGCCAGCCGCCCACATGATTCTTTAAAGCAGGTTTGGGCTTGAAAGCTGCGGGGGCCAGCTGTCCGCACCGAAATTGAGGTTGGCTTGGTGCTGAAAAGCGGCACGGGCCAGCACCCCGCACGATTTTTTGAAGCAGGCTTGGGCTTGAAAGCTGCGTGGGCCAGCAGCCCGCACCGAATTTGAGGTTGGCTTGGTGCCGAATTGCGGCGCGGGCCAGCAGCCCGCACGATTTGTTTAAGCAGGCTTGGGCTTGAAAGCTGCGCAGGCCAGCAGCCCGCACCGAATTTGAGGTTGGCTTCGTGCTGAAAAGCGGCGCGGGCCAGCAGCCCGCACGATTTGTTTAAGCAGGCTTGGGCTTGAAAGCTGCACGGGCCAGCAGCCCGCACCGAATTTCAGGTTGGCTTGGTGCTGACGGCGCGGGCCAGCAGCCCGCACGATTTTTTAAAGCAGGCTTGGGCTTGAAAGCTGCGCGGGCCAGCAGCCTGCACCGAATTTGAGGTTGGCTTGGTGCCGAAAAGCGGCGCGGGCCAGCAGCCCGCACGATTTTTGAAACAGGCTTGGGCTTGAAAGCTGCGCGGGCCAGCAGCCCGCACCGAAATTGAGGTTGGCTTGGTGCCGAAAAGCGGCGCGGGCCAGCAGCCCGCACGATTTTTGAAACAGGCTTGGGCTTGAAAGCTGCGCGGGCCAGCAGCCCGCACCGAAATTGAGGTTGGCTTGGTGCCGAAAAGCGGCGCGGGCCAGCAGCCCGCACGATTTTTGAACAGGCTTGGGCTTGAAAGCTGCGCGGGCCAGCAGCCCGCACCGAAATTGAGGTTGGCTTGGTGCCGAAAAGCGGCGCGGGCCAGCAGCCCGCACGATTTTTGAACAGGCTTGGGCTTGAAAGCTGCGCGGGCCAGCAGCCCGCACCGAAATTGAGGTTGGCTTGGTGCCGAAAAGCGGCGCGGGCCAGCAGCCCGCACGATTTTTGAAACAGGCTTGGGCTTGAAAGCTGCGCGGGCCAGCAGCCCGCACCGAAATTGAGGTTGGCTTGGTGCCGAAAAGCGGCGCGGGCCAGCAGCCCGCACGATTTTTGAACAGGCTTGGGCTTGAAAGCTGCGCGGGCCAGCAGCCCGCACCGAAATTGAGGTTGGCTTGGTGCCGAAAAGCGGCGCGGGCCAGCAGCCCGCACGATTTTTGAAACAGGCTTGGGCTTGAAAGCTGCGCGGGCCAGCAGCCCGCACCGAAATTGAGGTTGGCTTGGTGCCGAAAAGCGGCGCGGGCCAGCAGCCCGCACGATTTTTGAAACAGGCTTGGGCTTGAAAGCTGCGCGGGCCAGCAGCCCGCACCGAAATTGAGGTTGGCTTGGTGCCGAAAAGCGGCGCGGGCCAGCAGCCCGCACGATTTTTGAAACAGGCTTGGGCTTGAAAGCTGCGCGGGCCAGCAGCCCGCACCGAAATTGAGGTTGGCTTGGTGCCGAAAAGCGGCGCGGGCCAGCAGCCCGCACGACTTCGCGGGCCAGCAGCCCGGGTACGGGCCGCTCACGCTTCCGCCCATCGAAATCCTAGACGCGATCCCCCCTCTGGAACATCAGCCTGTGCTTGAGATCCCGCTGATTCGGGCCCAGACCGCCAGGCTCTTGAAGCTTTCATCGTACGTAGGGTAGAGCCTGGCAACCATGTTGATCTTTATTCAGGCCTTCCGGTTCTTGTAGGGGCCTGGAAGGATCTTGAAAGCGAGCGATCAAGCGGGTCGGGGCGACTCGTCTCTGAGGAAAGCCTTCACGTTTTCCTCTATGGACATCTCGAAGGCCTGGCAACTCTCCCCCCAAACATCAGCCGAAATTGACCCATGTCAAATCTGCCTCGAAGAAGCGTATGGCGATCCGCTTTGCAGCCATACCGGTCTTGGCGCCGCCTCACGAAGAACAAACCGGAATCGGAAAGGCGCTGAGGCTCACGGATTCTAAGAGTTTAACCTCTCAGCACCCAAATCCTAAACTTCCTGCACCCGCTGGGTGCCTGTCGACTTTGAAGGAGAAACTGCTTTCTCACCTCGGCAGCAACGTCAGGATGGTGGAATTGAGCCTTTCTGGTGCTTGGGTTTCACTTGTCAACCTTACAAAACCCAATGCCTGGACACCCTGGGTCTCACGTTTATTTCCTCTAAGTCGCCCTTGAGCCCCAAAACCCTTAGCCCTAACCCCCCCCCTGTTGCCCCAGAGTGCCCCACCACACCCGAAACCACCGCCTGAGGCAAGGGCTCTCCTCTTTGGGCGTCCTGGGCCGAAAGCCCACAAGAGCACCCCTAAACTCCCTAAACCCTTCAACCTCAGCCTTTGAGGGCGAAAGAGACCTGGGGTTGACGAGGTGAGGGAACCACACGAAACTCCCCAAACTTCTGGGCACCTGGCTCCTCGGCCTGGGTTTTGCCTTGCGGAGATGCGTCCCCAGAGCACCAGACCCAAAACTGATGGATTCCTACCCTTGAATTGCAGCTTTGCTGGTGCCTGCTTCGAGGTCGTCCCCGACAGACGTCGCGCAGAAGCAGCAGAAGAGCTTCCTGAAGCCTGGAGCTCACTAGGTCTTAGCGTCACTTTAGATGTAAGGACTGATCAAAGCACACACCCTGTAGCGCAAGGGCTTACAAATGCTTGCGGGGAAGGCGGTCCTTTTGGCTTCATGTCCTCGTGCTCGTCGAAGAAGAGCGTCCGGTTGTCTTTCAGATTTCGCCAGATCCTGAAGCGTCGGAAGCTT